ACAGATAAGGGTTCTGGCTAAAAAAGTATCTTAAAAATTCCTTTTGTTTTGCTTTATCAATTAATGACCTCTTAAATATCAGGTCATCCCATAAGTTCTGTCCAAATTTTGAATAAAGAAAACAAGTGACCAAATGTTACATTTAATTACAGATTCAATCAACAATGTATTTTCCCTGATTATCTATGACTTCCTTCCATCTATTAACAAGCTTACTAATTCCATTACTGTAAAATTCTTTTGGCTTTGATTCAAAGAACTCACAAATGTCAGTTTTAACCTCTTCCTGTGTTACAAAAGCTGTTTCTTCCAAATAATTCTGTAAGCTACAAAACAAATGGTAGTGTGAAGGAGCAAGATTGGGAGAATAAGGTGGATGAGGAATTTTCTCCCAACAAATCTTTTGTGACATGATACTTGCTGTGTGGGATTGCGCATTGTCCTGATGAAACATCACCTCTTTTCGATTCACTAGAGCAGGTCTTTTTTTCCTCAAAGCTTGGTTCAAACGCTCTAATTGCTGACAGTATATTTGAGCATTAATTGTTGTATTAGGTGGTAAGAATTCAAAGTGGATTATTCCTTGGGGATCCCACCAGATTGAAAGAAGAACCTTTTGCCCATGAAGTTCCCTTCTCGGCTGTGGTTGGGGTCCTTCCCCTTTAACAAGGCCACTGTCTACAATGCTTAACATTTTGATAAAAGATCCATTTTTCATTGCCAGTCACAAGTCTATCCAAAAAAGGTGAAACAAGTTGGGGAGAATGGAGAGAAGAGCAGATGTCAACTTGGAATTTGAGGTTGTTTTCACACAATTCATGAAGCACCCATTTTCCAAGTTTAAGAACTTTTCCAAGTTGTTGAAAATGATGATGAACAGTTGTATGGTTTGAACTGAGAACCACTGCCAATTCCTAAACTTATAAAGCAAGATTTTCTTCAAGGGTTGCTTCAAGAAGCTTTTCATCAAACTCAACTGGACATCCGGTTTGATCTTCATCTTCAAGGGTGAAATCTCCACCTCTGAATTTTGCAAACCATCTTCTGCAAGTTCTTTCATTCATACATTCCTCTCCATAAACTGAGTGAATGTTTCTAGCCGCTTCAGCTGCTGAGTTTCCTTTCTTGAACTCTTAAAGCATTATGTGCCTCAAATGATTCTTGGGTACTTCCATGTTAGCAGGGTTTTAATCAAACAAAATTTAATTTTATTGTTCTCTGAAATAAAATTTGATCAGTTTAAATGCATCTAAATATAAAAATAATGTTCAGCTCCATTAGACATTATAAAATACTCTTTAAATTTTGTTCATTTTAACAAAAAGTTAAAATTTGGACAGAACTTATGGGATGACCTGATACATAGGGTTGGTAATAGTTTATTATTACATGGACTGGTTACTAAGACTTAATGTTTTCATATGTGTTTATTTGATGACAGGCAAAAATGTAGGTTATTCAAATTTCGTAATAAATATAAAACAATCTTTTTAAACATTACTGCATATAGATAGCAAGCAACCTGTCAAGGTTTAGTTTTCTATGTCCCACACATTTATTGATGAAATGCAAGTGACATTATCACCAAGTAATTTGGTAAAGGCCACACCTAGCAGAGTTGATTTATTTTCAACTCGATTTAATACAAATAGATATATTGGATAGCAACCTTTATAATGGAAGACGTTAGTCAACATGTCTGGTCATGTTTGTAAGGCCTGACAAATGGAAAATTATGAAAGTAATAACCTACTTAGCTATCTATCTACCACATCAACTGCAATCAAGATCCACAACTCTTCACTGAAGTTAATTGTGAATTCCATCATCTTTTTCATAGCTGTGTTGTATGTGCTTTGTTTGGGCTACATATGCTTTTGAATTCAGACATATCCTTCTAGTCTGGTTACCAATCATGACTAGAATACCCAGTCTGCCCAGCTAGTTAATCCATAGAGTGGGAGTTGAATATGTTAGTTATTTGGTATATTAATTATTTTACATTTCTAACGTCCATAGTAAGATTATCATCAGTCTCTTGACTGCTTCAATCATCGGGTGGGGGTGGAATTATTCTGGAAGAAACAGACGTTGATTCTTCTTCCTCATGATCCTTTCAGATAGCTTGGCAGCACCCATATCCTCTCCAAGCTCTTGACTGACAACTGAAGATGAAAAAAAAAGGTGCGGATCACCATCGGTCTGAACACTAGCCCCAGGTTTTCATTTCAGAGTTGTCCTTCTCCTAGACTGGTTGCCACACTAGAGACAATGGCTTACCTCTGTGATGATAACAGATTTGGAGGTGTCTCGCATTTAAAATATTCCCAAAGAGAAAATGGCAGCTTCACAAGTCATATATATTTAAAAAAGAGAAAAAAAAGAAAAAAGATTATGGTGTCCTATAGACTTTCATGAGAATTTCTCTTAACCTATGCAAATTTGAACTCTTAAATGTATAAAAAAGTTCTTAAAGTGGTTTGGTTTGGTTTGTTTTACAGCATATCAACCTCAATGGGTTATTTAATGCCAACAACATTTTTTTTGTTGGTACTATTTTTTTTCAAAAATCTATTTCTGGTAATATTTTTTCCTTCAAAAACTCTATAGCTGGTAATATTTATTTTTCAAAAATGTATTGCTGGTAATAATTTTTTACAAAGTATTTCTGGTATTAAAACCTATTTTTACACTTTCATAGTGTTTTGACCCCAATTTGGGGATTAACTATTTGCTCATAGCTGGGACCCTAACAGGTGCTACCACCCTGGGTCAGGGTGGACCTGGGAACACCAATGAGGCTCATTCCGTGTCAAATCAACAAATTTTGGTGGGGCAAAATCCGACACGGATTTTTTTCAAACCTGCTACACTTATAGATCTCCATGAAAGAAATTGAATGGCACCTGTTACACATCTCAAGGTCAAGGGGTTCCTGAGATATGACCTCTGACCTTTTTACGAAAATGTGAATAGTGACCAACTTTAAAAGATGATATCTCAGTTGTTTATGGACTTACAAAGTTCATTCATATATCATTCTAAAGTACTTGGATAGATCTACAATTTTATCTGGGTATTTTTTTTTTTTTAGAGGTCAAATAAAAAAGTTGACCTTGACCTTTGATCTGACTTATCTCATAAAACATTATTTTAATTTTGAAAAAAATCTGTGTTGGACATGGTCTAACCCCTTGTTGATTTGACATGGAATGAGCCAAGAGGTGATTCTATGCTCCTCAAAACCTCCTAATCAGAGGCCTTGCTGTTGGATGTAGTTTATCATCATACCCAGAACGGGCTTAAAGAGGCAACAGAGAAAAGTGCAACTGCTGTAGCAAACAGGAGGCACATGTTGTTGGATCATTTGATTTATGCCAATGTTGTCTAGTTATAGGACCAAGTCTGTCCTAATTTACTCATATCTGGTGGGGTGGGGATGGATTCATATCTTTCCAAAAGGTATTAGCATGTAGGTGAATGTAATGATAATCATTTTTTGTTACTACTTTATATCTACTATTCATTTTATACTATATGATATTTACCAACTGTTGGAAGTATGAAATATGTTAGGGTTAGAGGTCAGGATTAGGATTAAAGGCAATTAACAATTTTTTATATAAAAAATAAAAAAAATCATCAAATAGTGATTTTAATCTTTGTAAACTGATTTGATGTCATTTAAAAAATAAAAAAAATTAAACAGGTCATCATTTTTCCTGAGCTTTTTCCAGAAATGTTAGATCGCAAATGTCTCGATAGATATCATACTATAGTAGCACCAAACAGTAAGCGGGTCATCATTTTTCCTGAGCTTTTTCCAGCAATAATGAGTGCAGCATCATTTTCAGTACGTTGCAAATGTCTTGGTAGATATCATTCTATAGTAGCACCCATTTTTTTTTAAATGCCATATTTCTTCAAAATGTAAATGATCATGACTCTCAGAGCCTTTTTTTTATTATTATCTTTGTATTGTCATGATATCATGGGAAAGTTTGTGGAGTGGTTTACTTTTAACTTCTTTATGGTTTTTGAAGTTAATGTTTTCTTTCTAGGCTGGCTGCCAGTCAAGGCTAAAGAACCCAGTCTACTCTATTTAACTCAAAGCTTAGGAAAGAAGAAAAGGATTAATGCTTTCCAAAGAGCACTTGTGCATAAGTGAATGCAACAGACTAAATAGGAGTTTGAATTGGGGTTTCAGATTCTATTTTCCGTGCCTCTAATTACTACACTGCTCACACAGTTGTTATTACATTTGTTAAATTGAAAACAGTTCCAGTTTCACAAACACACACACACACACACACACTTTTAAGCTGTCTGAATATTTTGAATGAATTTTTTGTTAATATATCTCATAATATATTAGGTTGTCCCAAAAGTTTGTAAACACTTGCGAAAAATTGAATTTTTATGCAATTTTTTATTGTTTTTTTACTTTATTGTTAATTTTGAAAAAATTTTATCTCATTAAAAGTATGCTTTGATGCAGCAGGACAATGCCAAGCCACACACCGCCAGGAAGACCAAAGACAAGTTTGAAGAGCTGGACGGCATTGAGGTTCTGCCACATCCAGCCTACAGTCCTGACTATGCTCCATCAGATTACAGCCTTTTCCGCTCAATGCAACACTTTCTGAAGGGCTGCCGATTCGACTCATTTGATGAAGTCGAGGAAGCGTGTCAAGAATTCTTTGATTCGAAGCCGGCTGAATGGTACTTTCACCAGATCCGAAAGCTTGCAGATCGATGGCACAAAGTCTTGGAAAATGATGGTCTTTATTTTGAGGAATAATTTTTGTTGTTTTTGTTATTACTTGGCGAGTAAAATTTCAATTTTTTGCAAGTGTTTATAAACTTATGGGACAACCTAATATTAAGTTTTTCCTATGAATTCAATAAATTGCAGATGCAATTTCAACATTTTTTACAGAGATATCACCATTTTAAAATTATAATCTATTAAATGTATCCTTTTCAATTTTTATTTTCAGGTAAAACCAGTCAAAGATCTGATATCGTCTCCTTGCCCTCCAAAACGGCCAAGGACAGGAACATGCTTGGCAAGGGCCAGTTTTCAACATAGAAGTTTGAGTGAATCATTTGAACAACATCTAAGCAATACCCAATCTGTTGACTATGCTGAAATGGACCCTATTGAGGTCAGTAGAGAGAAATGTTTCACAGAGCCAAGTCTGGCTCAAATATTGCATTTGTTGATTCTATTGAAATGGAGGATGTAGAATACAGCTGATATAATATAGAAGATTGAACTTTAAGTAACAGAATTTTAAATTCAGATATAGACCACAGCTTAGTTCACCATACTACCATATTACCTGTGGTATGCTCTGTGGTTAACAGAGCTATATATGAAAATCGATCATTAAGTTCTCAGCCTGACATATAGTTAGTAGTTGAATTTTGATCTGATATTTTCATTGTATAAGGTTTGATCTAGATAATTCACTACTGAATTAAGTAAGTATATTGAGAAGGAAGATCTTGTTGAATAATAATTGTATATAAGAAATGCTTTTTCTATCATCATGCTGAAAGTATATTGATGTCTTTGTATGAGTATATATTTTCATTTAAACATGTCTGCTTAAACAATTTAAACATGTTGTGCTTACTTATCTTCAATAAGATCCTTTCGTAATTGTTGTAACCTAAGGAAGGTTACTGAATAGAATAATCACACAAAGGTTAATAATGAATGATGATACTTAAGACAAGAACAACACATATAAGATTCGCCAGAATCATGTATGATCTTTCTTGTTTCATGATTAAAGACAGCAAGAAAAGTACTGTGGTTATACATATTCATTTTTATTTTTTCTGAGTACTTTCATTTTTTTCTTTCCAATATCATCATCAGGGTTTTGAGGGCTAAGACAAATAGTTATGTTTGTCCAAAATAACTTTTTATTATCTATATTTCTGATATGCGGTATTGTAATTATTTACATTATTTGGACTGTTGTCTTCTTTATTTTCATATTTGGGACATCTCAGCCTTCTTCAGGTAATTGGAATTTCAAACTGAAAACTATTTCATCTACCAGGGTAGATTGTTCTAGTTCCACATGTTATGCCTCTTCTGGATGTCTCAGTTATCTCCCTTTAACTGAACTCTCCAAGTTTTTGTTCATCAATGTGGCATAGAAATGAATACAATATGGGAACTAGTAATACAGAGTGCTAGAGAAAAGCAATAACAACAAAATTGCAAATATGAGCTGAGATAATCTACTCTGGCAGACGAAATAAAGGGTTCAGTTCAAAATTCTAATCGCCTGAAGAAGGCCAGAGCATACAATGGCTGAAACATCATGAATATGACAATAAAGATGAGGACAACAGTCTGAATTTTGTGGTTTAACAGTTCAGGTCATGAACAAAGACACAAATACTGATTTTAAAATTTATGTTGTAAGATTTTTTTTGTTTTGTTTTACAGCATATCAACCACAATGGGTCATTTAATGCAGATGACTTTTCTTTTTTCTTTTTTTTTTTTCCCGATAATATTTTTGTTTTGTTAGAAATCCATTTCTATCAATATCTCCTTCCTCAGAAATATGTAGCTGGTTATAGTGTTTTTCAATAACGTACAGCTGGTAATATTTTTCCTTTCAAAAATTGATTTCTGGTAATAATTTTTTTATTTCTTCCTCTACAGTTCCATTGAAGTATCTTATGTGTATTTGTGATCATTGCTTTCCTGTTTGGTTCATTGGATTACTTTGTGTTTTAAGGTTTGTTTAGGTTTTTTCTTTCAAAAATGCATTGCTGGCAACATTTGCTTTTCAAAAATGTATTGATGGTAATAATGCAATCATCAGGACCTGATGATAGCATCTAGCATGAAACAAACTCTCGCCTCTAAGTGTTGACTTCTATGTTCACTTTTATATTATATATATATATATATAGTTATGGTAATTTATCCACGCACACATGGACTCTCCTGGCTATAAATAGGAGCAGGTACTGCTTTTTGGAGGATAAAGTTTCCAACAGTCAGCTCTAACAGTCAGACCGAACATTCTTGCTGTAACTCTCATTTGTATATGTTTGTATTAGTGATTCTGTTAATATATTTGTTTAACTCAATTCCTTTCTTGTGTCTTTATTTCTGGCCCTAACAAGGCCACAACACACACACACACACACACATATATATACAGTGGGTAGCAAAAGTATTTAACACATTGGTTTTTCTTACATATCTCAAAAAATAACAGATCAATTTCAACGAGACTTATAGTAAATATTTAAACGAACATTGTCGATCAAAACATAGAAGGAAAATTTAAAACCACTGTTTTGAGAAACATTTATTAACAATAAATAAAATAACCCATATGCAAAAATATTTAACACCAATGCAAATATTATGCTAGAAGAGACGTGTCATCATGATTCCTACCCATATTGATATGATGTGATATGTCGACCAATGACAACACTGCACGACACTCAACTGGCTATTAGATAACAGCTCTGAGACACTACAGCTATTCTGTTGCCACTACTGCAAGAAAATGGTGAAAACAAAAGAATTGTCGAACGACATGTGCAAGAAGATCATAAAGAATCACAAAGATGGTAAGGGATATAGAAAAATTGCTCAAGATTTGAATTTGCTTTTGAGTACAGTTGGTGCTGTTGTTCGAAAATGGAAAAAATTCGATACTATTGAAAACATTCAAAGGAGTGGTTGTCCCCGTATCTTAAATGAGGCTAATGAGCGATACATTTCCCGTACTGTGAAGAAAAATCCATTTTCAACTCGAGAAATTCAGAATGATTTGAAAAATGCCGGAATTGAAGTTAGTAAAGATACAATTAAAAGATCAATGAATTTCAGGTCTCACTTCAAGATCACCGAGAAAGACTCCATTACTGAAATGCTGGCATGTACAAGCCCGTTTGAATTTTGTAAAGAAATATGAAATTGAATCTAATGATTTCTGGGAGAAAGTAAGAAATTGAATCTAATGATTTCTGGGAGAAAGTAATTTGGTCAGACGAAACGAAAATTGAACTTTACGGACGAAACATGCGCACTCATGTATGGAGGAAAAAAGGAGTGGAATACAAGCCAGCAAATACCATCCCTACAGTCAAACATGGGGGTGGAAATATTATGATGTGGGGTTGTTTTTCCTCAAATGGATTAGGAAAAATGAAAATCATCGAAGGAATAATGAATGCTGCAAAATACACTCAAATTTTGTCAACTCAACTCTTGAACAGTGCCACATCTTTGGGACATGGTCGTGATTTTGTATTTCAGCAAGACAATGACCAAGCATATTGCTAAAACAACTAAGAATTGGTTTAATAATAATGACATTAATGTCCTGGAATGGCCAAGCCAGTCACCGGATTTAAATCCAATCGAAAATTTGTGGAAACTATTGAAGTTACGAGTTCATAAAAGAAATCCACCGAATTTAAACAAATTGAAGAAAATTTGTGAAGAAGAATGGGTCAAAATACCAACAAGTATCTGTGAGAAACTAGTTGAAGACTATGGGAAATGACTGGAGGCTGTGAAGCAGAACAGAGGCTACTGTACTAAATATTAGTAAAGTGTGTTAAATACTTTTGCATATGGCTTATTTTATTCATTGTTAATAAATGTTTCTCAAAACAGTGGTTTTAAATTTTCCTTCTATGTTTTGATCAACAATGTTCGTTTAAATATTTCCTATAAGTTTCGTTGAAATTGATCTGTTATTTTTTGAGATATGTAAGAAAAACCAATGTGTTAAATACTTTTGCTACCCACTGTATATATATTTATATATAATCTCAAGGAGAATTTTAGGGGAAAGAAGTATGACAAAGTGGAAAAAGGTTTTGTGTGACATGTTTTGTCCTTTATTTACACTGATGTGACTACACATGTGCACAAATGAAAGAGACGCTGAAAATTTAAAATAATTTTTGTGTGTCTTGGATATATAATCTAGCTAATTTCATTTACATCCTTTTTCTTCTTGTTTATCTGTCAAACACTTTTGTGATTTATTAAGCTGACTGATTTTTATCACTTTAATTTGGATAAAAAAAAATCCATTCTAAAATTCTCCTTGTTTTCATTTGAATACCAAACTGTGCAAATATGAAAAACTTTGAGAGATCTATGACAGGAGAAACTTTGTTTGAAAGCACAAAATTTGGTCTCATCTAACCGACTGTTCTTTGTGGCCAGGTTGGTAAGGCATATCAGGCTAAACACTATATCTCCTTCTGCTCTGTTTGATTCCTGCTAGTGTGCAAGTTTTTCTTTAACAAGATTTCTCAAACATCCTGGCTGGTAGACAAAAAAAATAAATATTTACACTATTAAAACTCTTGTCCTCATCTTTATTGCCATATTCACGATGTTTTGGCCATTGTACACTCCGGCGTTCTTCAGGTGATATACGTTGGAATTTCGAACCAAACTCTTAGTCCACTGGGTTATTATTGCCATGGCTTTTCTGGATGTCATGGTTTTAATTATTTCCCTTTAGTAACTCAAATCTTTTTTGTTCCTTCTGATATGGTCAGGTATTGAATTCACAACTCTTTGGCTCAAGTCATAGGATTACTTTAACCACTGCTTTTATCCACTCAGCTATGTGTCCTTGGGCACAACAGATCAAATAATATAAATAGTTAACAATACCTCATCTTAGAAATATAGACAGATGATAAATATACAGTTTAATAAATAAATGGAGCGTCTACTCAAATACAAGTATCCACTAAAAAAAAAAAAAGTTAAGTGATAAAAATCTGTCAGATTAATAAAAATCTATTCTAAAATATATATAATGTGTGTGTGTGTGTGTGTGTGTGTGTGTGTGTGTAACACTTTTGCCAGAGCATGTATACACCTTGATCCTCAGCAGAAATCCAGTATGTAAATAATCCAGATACTTAATAATTTCCATGCATGTAGAAGAAATATATATATATATATATATATATATATATATATATATATATATATATATATTTTCCATATATTTTGGTAGCATATTTTCATTTAAACATGTCTGCTAAAACAATTTAGACATGTTGTGTTTACTTATCTTCAATAAGATCCTTCTGTAATCACATATAAGCTTTCTCATTTCATGCTTAAAGACAGCAT